CATCTATCTTCTGCATATAGCAAACGAGTAAAGCAAAAATTAGTCGTATTAGATTACAGAAGAAAGAAAAAAAGTACGATAAACACACTAATATCAAATTGTGACTAATGAAATAAACATGATAGTTAGGTATAGCACTACGTAATGACATGACTAGTTTACTCATATTATAATACACGTATTTATTTATCTACTGCTATACGTGGACATTCGATAAAAGTGACCACTAATAAATTAACTGCAAAATAAAGCAATATATATGTACATAGCGGCGTGCATGCAGTGGTAATGTGGTATGATAAAATTTTGGAGCACTTGGTGACAAAATGCAGATCGGGCTCATATTGTAATGAAAGAATATTGTTTGGTGAACAAAATTTGATATTATAAATTGCTCATAATAGAGTTCTAGTTTTGATTTTTTACCTGAAGCGTAGACTCTAGGAATGCAAGCATAACTCCTGGAATAATCCCTCTTATTCCGCCTCCATCAATAGAAAGAACAGTGGTGAGACCTTCGTTAGCGTGAGCATGAAGGGATGATTTTGTTTTCTCCATGAGTGAGAGATTGAATGCACAAGACTTAACAATGAAAACTAGAGAGCGATTGATTTGACGTTGCAAGAATCTCAAAAAGAAAGCTTTGCAAGTTATGGGATTAACCAATTGAGTTGTGGGACTTTATATAGTGATATTTCCCTCTGTGAGCAGGTAATTTTAGTTTCCATTTTTATATTCTAAGTTGTATTTACTTTCCTTTTTGTATAGTTCCTATTGTAATTAGGACTTCTTTCCTATATTGTTAGCATTTCCTACACAGACAAGTTTATATAAAAACCCCTCACGTGTTAGAAGAGTCATGCTTATCCTTAACTAGTCTCAACGTTGCTCACTTTCACATTTTCTGTCAACATACAAAGCCCAAAGTATTTTCAGTTCCGTTGAAGTTTAGGAGAAAAAGAGAGATGTCTTGGACTTGATGATCAGTTCAAGTGTAAGAATGATGTCTATGGCGATCCTTTTCCCGTGAAGAGTAGGAGGAATTGTGATAGTCGCGATCTGTAAAATAAGGGTAAGTGTCAGATGACGGGGCTTGAACTGAACGTCCACACAATTTGAAGAAACAAAAAGAAGCATATGAACTATTCTTAACCTCGGTCCTTGGTTCTGTCCCTCTCAGCCTCTTCTCGATCTTGTTCCGGTCAGAATCCCTCCCCCCCCGGACTTTCATTCTATCCCTGTCTCTGTCTCCTTACCTCTCTCCCTGTCCCTGTCCCAGCTTTTATTGCCACTAGATTCCATTTTGCGTTCAGACTTGGATTTGATACTGAAATCTTCTATTGCCTCTCCCTCAATAGGCATACTTTCATCACTCTCTTTAGAGTCCTTCAGCTTGTCAATGGCTAGCTTGGCCAACACACCCTTTGATCCACCAGATTCAGGATTGACTTCTGCTGCAGCCTTCGAATTAGAGGTATATATTGTCAATAGCTGATGGGCTATTATTAGGAACGGGGCAGGAATTAGAGAGAGAAAAAAAGAAGAAGAAGAATCGGAACTACCTTTGGAATTGGCTGAGACTGTGAATTACATGACTTGTTAGAAAATGTAAAAGAATCTCCATCCGTACAGACTGGTACGTACTTTGCTTTAGGAAGGCTGTACAGATGAGCCAGCACCCTACTCTTGAATCGCACACACAATGTTGTACTATCACCAATAAGGTTAGTGAGAACTAAAACAACAAAATAGTACATTGAGTATAAGTTTTTCAAATGAACTATCACCAATAAGGACAACAAAAGACACATAATCCAGTAAAAAAAAATTCCCAATAATTAAACAACAATGTAAAGTTCGAAAGTTTCAAAGTCAAATGGAAAAACCAAGTGCCAAGAAAGTAAATAAGTAATTGGCATCTGTTGGGGGAAGTACCTGTCATTTGCTAGTTTCCAGGCTTCTTGTGTTTCATTCTGGTGGTGTCTCCAGAGTGGCAAGATAATTTGATATAAACTTATGAGGATGCTCAACATGACAAATGAAACCCATCTCCTTTAAAATACGCCTTTCTGCTTTACTCAACTCCATCTTCAAGTCCGAACATTTCTGGAAAGAAAGTAGACAGAGATAAACCATAGCATGCTTTTGGCTCAAAATCATGATAATGGAAGACAATGACTTTAGTACGATGTGGATTATATGAGCTCTAACCTTTGAATATGGATCCAAAGGCTCAATGGGTAGGTTCTCCCTCCTACATTCCATCCTGTGGGAAACAATGATAACCTGCCTGGATTTTTTAGGGCATTCCTCCGGTTTTGATGCAAGCCACAAACAGCTGGCAGCAACTTTTTACAAGAAAGCATCACATTATTAAAAGGGAAAAATTTAAAAGAAATCATTCATTCCTCTCGATTTCCGACCATGGTTTTAGAAAGAAATTCTTACAATAGAAATGGTGAAACAGAACCTGACCAGTGGCCATAACAGCTTGAGGTCTGGCCAACTCCATGCTTAGTTTGTGTTGTACATAATTTAGGCTAATGTATTTTGATTCTGTGTACATATACATAACATAAAAGCAAACAAACGACCACTTGCCATTTATCTCAATTTTATTGTGTTACCTGAATTCGGAGGTAATTGCCATTAGACTGAAGAGCTTTAAAAAAGGAGCGACTGAGGTTCTCATTCATGTCACTATTTACTCTCATAAGAAGATCCACCAGTGGAGTCGAACGATCTTTTCCGATTAGCCAATCCAGAGCACCCCAACAAGCTGCTTTTTTTGGCATCGTACTTCTTCTCAGATGTCATACCAGTCCCCAATGTATAAGTAAGACCCGCTCATGGATGCTAGTGTTGCCCACGTGCATGACAAAATTGTATATTTAAAGGGTATAGTCAAGCGGCTATACTCTTCAAATATATTTGAATATTTTAAACGTATAGCCGTTCGGCTATACTCTCTAAATACATTCGAATATTTTTACGGTATAGCCGCACGGCTATACGCTTTAAATATATTCCAAAAACTCGCACTCGCAGAGGACGGAAATTGCACTTGCAGTCACTGCTTCGTCCTCCAGGTTCGGCACCGGAAAAAGAGTCAACCCACCTAGGCGCCCGCCCAGCCGCCTAGCTCCGGCCTAGCTACTGCCTAGCCGCCTAAGGCCCGCCTAGCCACCGCCTAGCCGCCTACGGCCCGCCTAGCCACCGCCTAGATGCCTACCGCCCTCCTAGCGACTGCCTAGCCGCCTACCGCTCGCCTAGCGACCTCCTAGCGACCGCCTAGCCGCCTAACTCCGGCCTAGCTACTGCCTAGACGCCTAGAGACTGCCTAGCCGCCTAGCTATCGCCTAGCCGCCTAGCAACCGCCTAGCCGCCTAGCGCCCGCCTAGCGCCCGCCTAGCGGCCTATCGCCCGCCTAGCGACCGTCTAGCCGCCTACCGCCCGCCTAGCGACCTCCTAGCCGCCTAGCGACCGCCTAGCCGCCTACCACCCGCTTAGCGACCGCCTAGGCCGATTTTTCAAACACTGCGATTGACTGAAATACTTGAAGTTGGATGATGTTTTCATAGAAGATGAGGGGTTTTTCAAATGGATCTCATGTTCATGTAAGTGCATCAAGGAGTTACATCTTGAAGATATTTTTGGAATAAATCAGATCACCATTGAAAGCTCCTCTTTGAAATCTTTTAGTTTTGTGCTTGATTCCCCTGTGTATATTGACCTTATCCTTAGCATCTCAGCTGAAAAACTTGAAGACATACTTGTTCACTTGGATCTTCATAACTGTATCAAGAATTTGGTGAATATTTTTGCTCCAAATCTTAAGTATTTGAAATTGTCAGGGGATGATGTATGGATTGGCCAAGGTTTGGGGAAATCTACGTCTTTAGAAAAAGCCGAGTTTTTTCTGGAATCTAATCGCCGTTGCTTTAATATATCGTCTGAGGTTCTCTGCAGTATAAACAAGGTTGAAACTCTTGTTCTAAACAGAGAGACCACCATGGTAACTAGACACTACTCTTCAAGATGTTCTTTTTATTCAATGGTTTTTGTTTTTTTCAATTTTGTCTTGTTTAGGTTATATTCTTTCCCAGCATGGCAATAGGGGTAAGTTAATTTCAGAAAACTGATGGCAATAAGATTTGGTTATATTTTTCATTAATTTTGGTTATTCTGGCTAGAATGAAATTTCATGTTGATGTTTCTTGTTTGTTTTAGTCAGTCTGAAACTTTGTAATAGTACTTTGACAGATCAAGTACTTCAAAAACCATGATAGTTTCAACTTTTAGTTAGTAATGACTATTTCATCGACTTGTTTTCTCAAATATATTGCAGGTAGTTCTTTTCTTAATTAATATTTGTAATTCTTGTCTTTCGGTTCCTTATGTTTGTGTTATTAAGTTGTAGGCTGTCTTCTATGGAGATTTCATGCCACTGCTATTAGAGAATGTTTGTTATTTGTCTATTCGATCATGTTGGAAGCTTTCGTGATATGCTAGTCCCAAGAATGGTCTCCACTTTTCAAGAAATGTGTAATTTGAGTACTTTGGAAATAATGTCTGACCCAGAATTCTTTGAACCTAAAACTGATGTAAGTGAAAGTGTTGCCTATATTTCTTTCCCCCTCTCTTTCATGATTAGTTTTTTTTTTTGGGTGCGGAAATTTCAACTGATTTGCTTGTTGATTGTTGCCTTTCCTGCAGTGTTCTGGGTTTAATATGGGATATTGGAGATTGCAAAACATTTCTTTTATTCATCAACTTAAGGAAGTAACCATAGAGCTTTCCATTGGATCTAATGGAATTCAGTTTGCAAATATGTCGCTCGAGCATGCTTGGAATTTGAAGAAAATGACATTTTTTTCGTTCACCTCAGCAGTCGAAAGCTGTAAGGAAGATAACAAAAAGCATGATTGCTTCCAGTGCCAAACTTGTATTGTTAGCATTTCCTGCACAGACAAGTTTATATAAAAACACCTCACGTGTTAAAGAGTCATGCTTATCCTTAACTAGTCTCAATGTTGCTCACTTTTACATTTTCAGTTCCGTTGAAGTTTAGGAGAAAAAGAGAGATGTCATGAACTTGATGATCAGTTCAAGCGTAAGAATGATGTCTATGGCGATCCTTTTCCCGTGAAGAGTAGGAGGAATTGTGATAGTCGCGATCTGTAAAACAAGGGTAAGTGTCAGATGACAGGATTTAAACTGAACATCCACACAATTTCAGGAAAAAAGAAAAAGAAAAAGCACATGAACTATTCTTGAATAAGCATACCTCGGAACGACTGATGTCTTGATTTCTCCAAATGCCCCCTGCAGAATATTGTGCATTCAGCATAGAAATTGAAGATTGAGAAAATTTGATATGACGCAAGTTCATAAATCCAATTTTGACAACGTTGGGGGCGGAGGTATAAAACCCATAACCAACCTGAATCTTTTGCTCTATCCTTTGAACGATAACCTCGGTCCTTGGTTCTGTCCCTCTCAGCCCCTTCTCGATCTCATTCCCGGTCAGAATCCCTGCCCCCCGGACTTTCATTCTATCCCTGTCTCTGTCTCTTTCTCTGTCTCTGTCTCTGTCTCTTTCCCTCTCCTTATCTCTCTACCTGTCCCTGTCCCTGTCCCTGTCCCTGTCCCTGCTTTTATTGCCACTAGATTCCATTTTGCGTTCAGACTTGGATTTGATACTGAAATCTTCTATTGCCTCTCCCTCAATAGGCATACTTTCATCACTCTCTTTAGAGTCCTTCAGCTTATCAATGGCTAGCTTGGCCAACACACCCTTTGATCCACCAGATTCAGGATTGACTTCTGCTGCAGCCTTTGAATTAGAGGTATTTTCAATAGCTGATGGGCTATTATTAGGATCGGGGCAGGAATTAGAGAGAGAAAAAAAGAAGAAGAAGAATCGGAACTACCTTTGGAATTGGCCGAGGCTGTGAATTACATGACTTGTTAGAAAATGTAAAAGAATCTCCATCCTTACAGACTGGTACGTACTTTGCTTTAGGAAGGCTGTACAGATGAGCCAGCACCCTACAAACTTCGTCAATCCCTGATTTCTCAGCATCAAATGCCTTCCACCATGGCGGATTCTCAGGAAGGGGCACTTGAAACCTCCAAGCGGCAGCATAAACTACACCGCAACACACCCTTTGATCCACCAGTAAAACAAAAAATTCCCAATAATTAAACAATAATGTAAAGTTCGAAAGTTTGAAAGTCAAATAGAAAAACCAAGTGCCAAGAAAGTAAATAAGTAATTGGCATATGTTGGGGGAAGTACCTTTCACTTGCTAGTTTCCAGGCTTCTTTTGTTAATTCTGGTGGTGTCTCCAGTGTGCAAGATAATTTGATATAAACTTATGTGGATGCTCAACATGACAAATGAAACCCATCCTCCTTTAAAATATGTCTTTCTGCTTTACTCAACTCCATCTTCAAGTCCTAAGATTTCTGGAAAGAAAGAAGACAGAGATAAACCATAGCATGCTTTTGGCTCAAAATCATGATAATGGAAGACAATGACTTTAGCACGATGTGGATTATATGAGCTCTAACCTTTGAATATGGATCCAAAGGCTCAATGGGTAGGTTCTCCCTCCTACATTCCATCGCCTGGATTTTTTAGGGCATTCCTCCGGTTTTGATGCAAGCCACAAACAGCCAGCAGCAACTTTTTCTACAAGAAAGCATCACATTATTAACAGGCAAAAATTTAAAAGAAATCATTCATTCCTCTCGATTTCGGACCATGGTTTTAGAAAGAACTTCTTACAATAGAATCGGTGAAACAGAACCTGATCAACTTGAGGTCTGCATGCAAGTGATCAAATGAAGCAAACAAAGTTAACAAAATTCACCCTCAAAGAAAAGAACAACAACAAACTATACAACTTAAAACAAACCAGAACTCAACCGTACAATCTGAGCAAAATTCAGCTTTCTTGGATAAAATCACAGCCATAGACGGTCTCCGTCGCCTCGTACATGCCGTCCTTTCTCGACGGCGAGCTCTGCACTTGCTCATCGGTCAGATAGAACGTGTCTATCGCCGTGTATATCATCGTAGAAACCCTAACTAACTTCTACACAAAGTGAAATTTCCCAAATTTAATCAAATTGAATCTCAAAGAAAACTGAGAAAGTTCCGAAATTTCAAAAACAAAAGTCGAAATCATCAAAATAGAGCCTTACCTCCCTTCTTGGCGCCCCAGACTCAAATGATTGCAAAAATACGTACGTGTAAACTCTATAAACAGAATATTTTAAAGGTATAGCCGGTCGGCTATACTCGGTCTTTTAATTCTAAAAATAGTATAGCCGAGCGGCTATACGATTTTTGACATCATTGCTCGGCGAGTTCTCTTCTTAAATAAATAAATAGTATAGCCGACCGGCGATACCCGGGTTTTTTTGTTTGTTTACAAATTAGTATAGCCGTGCAGCTATACTCTTTAAATATTCCAAAAGCTTGCACTCGCAGAGTACGGAACT